TAGGCAGCCTCTCTGCTAATGGGTGAGGTTGTGTTTCTGTCTTGCTAGTTGTTTGGCATGGGGCATCCAGCATTGGAGCTTGCTGGCTGTTGGGTGGAGCTGGGTCTTAGTGTTGAGATGGAGATCTCTGGGAGACCTCTCGCCGATTGATATTATGCGTGGCCAGGAGGTTTCTGGTGGTCCAGTGTCCTGGACTCGGCCCTCCCACCTTGGAGGCTCAGGCTCAACATCCGGCTGGAGCACCAAGACCCTGTTAGCCACACGGCTCAGAAGGAAAGGAAGAAAGAAAAAACCCCCAAAAAACCAAAACTAAAAAACAGACAGAATCCTAGGACAAATGGTAAAAGCAAACCTATACAGACAAAATCACACAAAGAAGCATATACATACACACTCACAAAAAGAGGAAAAGGAGAAAAAAATATATATATTAAAAAAAAAAGGAAGAGAGCAACCAAACCAATGAATATATCCACCAGTGATCATAAGCACTAAATACTAAACTAAGATAAACATAAAACCAGAAACAAATCAGATGCAGAGAGCAAACCCCAAGTCTAGGGTTGCTCCCAAAGTCCACTGCCTCAGTTTTGGGAACATTCGTTTATATTCAGGTATTCTTCAGATGCAGGGTTTATCAAGTCGATTGTGGGGATTTAATCTGCTGCTCCTGAGTCTGCACGGAGAAATTTCCCCTCCTCTGTTCTCACAGGTCCTGGGGTTCAGCGTTGGTTTTGGCCCCGCCTCTGCATGTAGGCTGCCCTCAGGCGTCTGTTCCCGCCCAGACAGGAGGGGTTAAAGCAGTGGCTGATTAGGGCTCTCTTGCTCACTCAGGCTGGGGGAGGGAGGGGTACGGTAGTCGTAACTGGAATGCGAGGTGAGCCTCTGCCAGCAGAGGTCGGCATGACGTTGCAACAGCCTGAGGCGCGCCATGTGTTCTCCTGGGGAAGTTGTCCCTGGATCGTGGAACCCTGGCATTGGCGGGCTGCACAGGCTCCTGGGGGATGTGGATAGTGACCCGCACTTGCACACAGAATTCTTGGTGGCAGCGGCAGCAGTGTTAGCAGTTTATGCCCATCTCTGGGGTACAAGCTGATAGTTGTGTCTCGTGCCTGTCTCTGGAGCTCTTTCAGGCGGTGCTCTGCCTTCTGTGGGCACACTGGGAAGGGATCCCCTCTCCTCGCGCATCTCGAAACAAAGGTCTCGCCTCTGGCAGGTCCAGACTTTTTCTTGGATTCCCTCCCGGCTAGCTGTGGCGCACTAGCCCCCTTCAGGCTGTCTTCACGCAGCCAACCCCGGTCCTCTCCCTGGGGTCTGGCCTCTGAAGCCCAAGCCTCAGCTCCCAGCCCCCACCTGCCCTGGCGGTTGAGCAGACAAGCCTCTCAGGCTGGTGGGTGCTGGTCAGCGCCAGTCCTCTGTGTGGGGATCTCTCCGCTGTGCTCTCTGCACCCCTATTGCTGTGCTGTGCTCTGTGGCTCTGAAAATTACCCCTGCCCACCCCCATCCCTGCCAGTGAAGGGGCTCGCTAGTGTGTGGAAACCTTTCCTCCTTCACAGCTCCCTCCCACTGGTGCAGGTCCCGTCCCTATTCTTTTGTCTGTGTTTTTCCTTTTTTTTTTTTTGCCTTACACAGGTACGTGGGGAGTTTCTTGCCTTCTGGGAAGTCTGAGGTCTTCTGCCAGCGTTCAGTAGGTGTTCTGTAGGAGTTGTTCTACATGTAGATGTATTTTTGATGTAATTGTGGGGAGGAAGGTGATCTCCACGTCTTACTCCTCTGCCATCTTGAAGGTCTCCCTTTTTTCTTATTGAGATATAGTTGATTTACAATATTAGTTTCAGGTGTACAATATAGTGATGCAAAATTGTTATAGATAATACTCCATTTATAGTTATTAGAAAATATTGGCTGTATTCCCTGTGCTGTGTAATATATTCTTGTAGCTTATTTATTTTATACATAGCAGTTTGTACTTCTTAATCCTCTACCCCCATCTTACCCCTCCCCCACTTCCCTCTCCCCTTTGGTAACCACTAGTTTGTTCTCTATATCTGTGAGTCTGTTTCTTTTTTATTATTTTCACTAGTTTATTTTTTAGATTGTACATGTTAGTGATAACATACAGTCTTTCTCTGATTTATTTCACTTGGCATAATACCCTCCAAGTCCATCCATGTTGTTGCAAATGGCAAAATTTCATTCTTTTCTATGGCTGTGTAGTATTCCATTGTGTGTGTGTGTGTGTGTGTGTGTGTGTGTGTGTATGTATGTATACCACATCTTCCTTATCCATTCTTCTGTTGATGGACACCTAGGTTGCTTCCATGTCTTGGCAATTGTAAATAATGCTGCTATGAACATTGGGGTGGCATAGATTCTTAAAGATAGAATTACTGGACCAGAGGTTGGGAACTTTTCGAAGACTTTTGGTACTTATTCCTACACTGCTTTTTGGAACATGGTGATATATGAAAGCACCATCAGCTCTTAATTATTGGACTAGATGATGTTTGAGTCTTCTTTCAGCCCTAAAGTTCTCTCATTTTGTGATTGCATCTCCCTTAAAGGGAAAAAGTGATAGAGGAGGTAATTTGAGTTGACAAATAATCTCCTAACTTTCTTCCAGCTCAGCATTCTAGCCAATACTTTCTTCAGCCAGGCTCATTATCAGAGCTGTCAAACAATGGGCAAGTGAATTGATATTAATTGTATGTCACGTTTTCCCCCTGGATGTCTGGTAGAACTCTTACTGAGTAGTGTAATAACTAAATATAAGGAAAGGCAAGAGAAAAAAAAATTCCCAGAACAGACCATGGACCCCTGAGTAATTGGAATTTCACCGCTCTGTGCTTGTTAGGTGCTTCGTTCGTGGTGCCCTGAGAGCTGTTGTTAGATGGTCAGGCTGGTTGCAGTCCCTGCAGATTAGCAAGTCCCACACATGCTCATCATCTGAGGCCAGAGCTCATGCCTGGTTCTGTGTCCTGTTGCTGTTAGGGCTGTGATGAGAGGTGCCCACTACTTTGTCTTCTGAGCAGATTCATGATGCCTCACCTTTGTTATTCTTGCCCCTGGCAACCACACTGGAGTGTTATGTTGCCCAGGGGTGCGGAGGTTGGAGGGTGGTGACTTGGTTGTCCTACCGATGGCCTGTTGGCTTCCTCACTTTTCCCTTCCACCTGCAGCAGTGGATAACTCGATGCAGACGTGTGCACAAACGACGTCTGGTTCGGAGGTGTGTCTAGTGTGGCATTTTGCAGTACACAGGCAGTCTTGATTGTCCTTACCTGCTGTGGGATCCAGTTTTGGGGTCAGAGTTTTCAGGAGTGGTAGTAAGCCTGATTGGGGCCAGAACAGGGATCTAAGGGTAGAATTTCTGTCTGTGTAGTACTTTATACAATCTAGGACTGTCCTGTTTATCAGGAAATGATGTTGCTTTGGCCTAAACCCAGTGGATAGATTGAGCACTTGCTATGTGCCAGGCTCTGTATTACATGCTTTACATACATCAACTTCCAGTAGAACCCATCAGGTAGGTATTATTAATTATCTCCAAATTACATATGACAAACCTGAGGTTCAGGGTGATGGATGTTACCCAGGGTCTCCTGGCTAGGTATATTAGACTAGTGATAAAATCTTGAGCTCTTAACAGCTGCTATATGCTGCTTCCGAAAGCATTTCCCAGAGTGTTTGTGTTCTCAAGATGTGGCTAGGAGAAGGCTGTGACTTGGGGGCATTTTCATAAGCTTCTTATTTTTCATGGAGATGATTCTCTACTTTGTAAATTTCACAGATAATGAATGGTGATTAATTCTCATTAACCTTGGTTGAGGTATAGGTTTTGTTGCCTGGGGTGAAAGAAATACAGGTGTTGGGGGCAGTGGCTGGATGGAAAGAAACGTTTCAGACTCCAGTTGGATTTGAATCCCTTATGAAGTGCCGCCAGGAGCCCAGGAGAGCCTTGGGTCAGGAAAATGGAAAGGGCCAAGTATGAAGTTCCTAAGAGACTCTCAGTGTAACCTTCCTGAATGATGGTGACTGAGACCATTTTTATGGTAGTATTTGGTTCAATTAAAAATGAGAACAGTAGAATCTGGAGACATGTGAAGGCTAGCAGTTCAAATCTGAGATCATCAGATATTTATCTTTAGTGTTCAGACAAAAAAGGGCAGATCCTGAAGGCAATCTGATAGCCATCGCCTGGTGTGACCAGGTGAGTTGATTGAAGCTGGGACACCAGCTGGGTGGTGGCATCTTTCTCAGTGTCTGGGAAGCCAGGAAGGAAGAATGGAGAGTCTGGAGCTTATGTGTTCCAAGATGGTGTTTGAAGCAGGGAGGAAGGGCATGCCCACTGACTTTATCAGGATCACAGAGATAAGGAATTGCTTGATAAGGAATTGAAAGACTGGGTGGAGGTCAGATATAAACAGGTAAATATGGGGAGAACTGTTTCAATGGAGATGGTAATGAAGGCCAGGGCAGTGTTCTCCAAGGCCACCAGTGAGAAGGGAGGATGCCCGAGGACAGGTTCAGGCGCCTGACCTGCAAGATACTGAATCAGGCAGGCCACTCCCTGGGCAGAGTGCTGGGCTGCTGTCTTCTCTGTGCCTTGGTGTCGTCCTCATCTAGTCCCTTCATCCTGGAAAAGTACATATTTAACATGTCCTATTTCTTTACCTGGATAGTAAACAGATGTTTGCTTTAAAATTATTCATGAAACTCTATAGATACTTTTTGTGCACTTGTCTATATGTGTGTATATTGGAATTGAAAGATGAAAAAAACAAAAAAGTGCCCAGTAGAGTCCCTGGCCACCAGTGCATGCCACGCTCTTAGCACCCGGGTTCTTTTGCCCATACACACAGTGCGGCCACCAGCTTTCCATTCTGCGTGCAGACCTCATGTTTCCCACGGGTTTCTGCGGGATTGGAAAGCTAGGTGACCTGAGGCACAGAGGTGGCCGTTTTGTCATTAGATTCCTCTGCATGTCTCATTCACTGTAGTGGTCGTGGAGTCGGACTTTGTGAAGTACGAGGGCAAGTTTGAAAACCATGTGAGTGGGACCCTGGAGACGGCAATGGGGAAGGTCAAGCTGAACATTGGTGGCAGAGGCCTCGTGGAGAGTCAGTCCTCGTTTGGAACCTTGAGGAAGCAGGAGGTGGACTTGCAGCAGCTCATTGGAGTTGCCCAGGAGAGGTAATGGGAATTCTGCTTGGCATTTTGGACTTTGACATGTCTCTCATTGAAAGGTCGTTCTGTGGGTCGTTGGCTAGAAGGGTGACATTGGGATCGTGGCCAATCAGCAAACATTACCAAATGCCCATGTGCTGAAACTTGATGAGCAGTGCATCCTTTAGTCTGGACGTTGGCTGTTCTTAGCCTGAGAGGGGAGACTTGGGAAGCATTTTAGAAGGATGTTGCTTCAGACAAATGTGTACTTTAAAGAAATCATACGATTTATAAAATAGCAACAGTGAGAACGCTCTGTCCTACATTTCTGAATATTAATATCAGAAGTAGAAAAATCCTCCTTCTGCCCTGGCTCTTTATGATTTTCTGATTAGGAAAAGGAGAAAGCAGGTGTGGGGGGCTTCAGGGGAAGAGCTGGTTTTTAACTCTGAAGTCTTAAAGAAAACCCCACATTTATTCATTGTTTAGATTTCAGTAAATACATTTTACCCCAGTAAAATGATAATACCTCGTTATTTTTACCTTATGTTTATTCAACATTCTGTAAGTAATTTTGCTGAGTGCCTACGATGTACCACATAGTGTTCTACATGCTGGGGATGCTGCAGTGAACAGAATGCCAACGTTTCTGCCCTATATTCTAGGGGGCAGAGACACAAAACATGCAACTAAGTGAAGTATATAGTAGGTTGATGGTGCTCTCTGGAATGGAGAAAAATGTAGCAGAGAAGGGGGATAGAACATGCCAGGAACGGGGGCTGTGATTTGAAAAGGTGGCCAGAGAAAGCATCCTGGAGAAGATGGCATCAGAGCAAAGACCTGAAGCTGGGGATGGGAGCGAGCATAGGAGTGTCCTGGGCAAGAAGGCTGTAGGCAGAGGTGGTGTGATTGGGGCTGAGTAAATAGGGCAAGGGCAGGTGAGGTCAGAGTGGGTAAAGGAACAGTAGCAGGTCCCGTAGGACCTTGCAGGCCACTGGAAAGACTAACTCGTCCTCGGAGTGAGGTGGGAAGCCACTGGAAGACTTTGAGAAGGGAAGTGACAGGCCCTGACTTATGTTTTAGAAGGATCCTTCTGGCCCCTGGGCTGAGGAGAGACTGGATGGGTGGGAGCTGGGCGTCCAATTGAGAGGTTACTGTAATCCTGACAAGAGATGACATTTCCATTTGTACAGTAACATAGGTGCATTTTCCTGTGTAATTTTATCACCCGTTTTCTTTTAAAATGGGAAATGTCAACCCAAATAAAGAGAAAACTCACTTGTGTTAAGTATAGGTAGCTTATCTCCTCTTTTCCAATGTTCTTAGGATTATATGAACTATAAAATAGGTTTGCTCATTGAATAAAATAAGGTTTAAAAATTAATGAGTAAAAAATACCATAAAACTCAGGTGTCAAGCATTTGGTGGGTGGGTTTTGTACAGATATCGAGCATGCTTGGGCAACTGAAGTCTTCAAAACCCATTCACCTCTCCGCTAAGCTGATGCTTAAGGGAGTTGAAAGACCATGGTGGCTGTTTGACTCTTGCCTCCTGGCACTTTCTAGAACTCCAGGACTCTACTGAGTTAGGACTCAGGCAGGAATTCCCTTTCTCGGTCAGAGAACTTTAAGCTCTCTCTGGTGACACCAGGTGGAAGGGACAGCCACCTCTTTCTCTGATAGTCATGACCTTAATTATCTTTCCTCTTCCGCTCTTCTTTGCTAGAGAGGCATTTTCCTTCTCTACGACAACACTGGAAAGATATTTGTTGTTTGTCTGAAAATGAAATTTAACTGGAAGTCTTATATTTTTATTTGCTAAGTCTCGCAAATAAGGGGGAAGAGGGACAGGAGAGCTAGCTGTTCGCTCAGTCTTTAGGCAGCCCTCTAGAGCGTAATCCTGTCCTGCAGTCTTGTTATTTCTATTTGAAAAACCACAGTTTGGCAATGCTCTATCATCACGTTTCCCGTTATAGGTTTCTCAAACACTCTTCGTGATTCAGGTGTAGAAGTTAGTGCCAATAGGAAGCATATGGGGAGAAGTCAGTGAGTAGAGATGGGAAAAAGTAGTCTCAGAGAAAGATGCTAGGGCCAGCAGTTATAAGGGGGAGAGAGGGAGGGGAAGGAGATAGGCATGTGCTGAGTACCTCCTGTGTGCCAGGCACTTCATAGACGTCATCTCATTTACTCTGCACAGCTGTCTCTTTTTAGGTTTGAGGATTTAAGGCTCAGGGAAGGAAGTGACTTGTTCTCAGTCCCGGAGCTCAATTTGGGTGCTGCAGCTGGGATTCATCCCAGGATTTTCTGGCTCCAAAACTCCTGTTATTTCCTCTACATGATTCTTGAAGTGACTGTGAAGCAAAGGAATTGGCTGAGATAAAAATAGTTAAAATTATAGCAGGAGATACAAAGGCAGAGGCATGAATCTGGGTCCCCAGTGAGGGTACCTAGGGGGTGTACAGTGTTCCAGGCGCTGTCCTGAACAAGCACATGTGAATAGCTGGTCTGCCCACCTGGAGGTGCCCACACGAGGGCATGAGATCACTTGGGGAGAGTTTAGACATTCTGTTCTTTCTACAGGTGATTGGGAAAGATGGCCTGGGTAGGGGAAGAGGGGTAGGGGCAACACCAGGAACATGGTAAAGAACAAATTTAAAGTCTAGAAATGGAAGAGGTATCTTATCACAGAGTCACCGCTTCCTTGTTTTGTTGCTAAAAGGTAAAGTTGAGCAACAGAGGAGAGAAGAGGAGGAAGACTTGACCATAGGATGGAGATCATGTAAAGCTAACATTCTTGTTACTTCACGCTGGACTAATAAATTCTAATCTACATGGTCTACCTGTTTTTGGACTCCCACAACATCATCAGATTGATAAGGCTGTGGCTGTTTGACACGTGTGTAGCCTTGGGGGTGGTGATTAGTAATGCTTAAGTACTGTCTTTCTCAAGGGCTTATCTGCCATCATTTTTATTTCAGGTCATTTAGATAAGTTGTCATCTGTATACAAGTTATTTTAGCCCTTGGAATTCAGAGTATTTGTTTTATTGTCAGTGAGATGTGTGCACATCTCAAAAACAAACTTCATCTGTCCTTGAAAAAACAGGTGCGTTCATATACAACAGTTATGTAGCATTGTTGAGCATGAAGGCAATCCATAGGACCACAGGACTTAACTTTGCAGATACCTGGACATGACCCCTTTGAATGAGAGCTCTATGTTTATCTTAAAACATTCTTGATGGAAAACAGGCTAAGACCTTTCCATAATGACTCAGGTTCATGTTTTATTCCTTAGATCCAGTATTATTCTGAGACACACTCTTTAGTTTTTCCACCTTGTCTTCCATTGTCAGCTGCCATATGTCAATGCTTTATAACCGCCATACCCTCCCCACCTCTGCCACTGATTATTGCTCCTAACCTCCTAGTGTTTGAGGAAGTTTATTCATGGAAAATAACTTCTGCAGACATGGTAGGTCGCTTCTGTCCCTGCCAGGTTTAGGTGGAATAGTTGGACTAGAGGATCTTTGAGGGTTTTCTCTGGGCTAAATGTAGAAGTGAGTGGACTCTGAGTGCACGCATCAGTTCCCTCCCCTTGAGTTCAGGGCCTTGGTTTCAGCTGATTTCCAGAGACGGTGCCATTTTGTGCTTTCCTGACTGTTCAGGGGTTAAGGGAGGGTGTTGTGGTACAGGCAGATCCCACTTTCATTCTTTGGTTCATTGTAAGGCAAATTGTGGTAAAGAAAAGATTCCATTTTTCTATGAATACATGATAATTAGAAGTTTGATTCTTCATTAAGAATTCTAACTTATAAATTATATGAAACTAATATGTCATGCAAGCAATGGTATGGCAATGATGAACCTTCATAATTATTTAAAGTATTTTAAAATTACCCCCAGAAAGTCTTACTATATCTAAATATTTACAAATTGTACAAGTTTTACACACAAGAAAAAATGTTAAATGCTCCTATTGGTTATGGCCCACATTTGACCTCTAAAGTTACCACAATAGCTCTCCTGAGTGAAGTTTCAGTGTGCCATCAACTCTTTATTTAGGAGTATTTTGAGGGGAGGGATTTGGGGGCCTGTCTCTTCCTTGAAAAAAAAACCATGCAGCAAAGTTGGAACTGGTCTTTTCTACTTGATATCTTTCCCTGTGGCCAGCAGATGTTTTGTCCTTTTTTTAAATGTATTTATTTTATTTATTTATTTTTGGCTGCGTTGGGTGTTTGTTGCTGCACGTGGGCTTTCTCTAGTTGCGGCGAGCGGGGGCTACTCTTTGTTGCGGTGCACGGGCTTCTCATTGTGGTGGCTTCTCTTGTTGCAGAGCACGGGCTCTAGGTGCACGGGCTCCAGTAGTCGTGGCCGGTGGGCTCAGTAGTTGCGGCTCGCAGGCTCTAGAGTGCAGGCTCGGTAGTTGTGGCGCACGGGCTTAGTTGCTCCGTGGCATGTGGGATCTTCCCAGACCAGGGCTCAAACCCGTGTCCCCTGCATTGGCAGGCGGACTCTTAACCACTGCGCCACCAGGGAAGTCCCCAGCAGATAGTTTGAAATGATTCTGTTTACCTTTGCACTCAATTTCAGTGCTGGCACCATCTTTTTAAAATTTTTTTAAATTTGCGATACGTGGGCCTCTCACCGCTGTGGCCTCTCCTGTTGCAGAGCACAGGCTCCGGACGCACAGGCTCAGTGGCCATGCCTCACGGACCCAGCCACCCCGCGGCACGTGGGATCCTCCTGGACCGGGGCATGAACCCGCATCTCCTGCACTGGCAGGCGGACTCCCAACCACTGCGCCACCAGGGAAGCCCAGGCACCATCTTTTAAAAAATTTTTATTTTGTATTGGAGTATAGTGGATTTACAATGTTGTGTTAGTTTCAGGTGTACAACAAAATGATTCACTTATATATATACATATATCTATTCTTTTTCAAGTTCTTTTCCATTTAGATTATTATAGAATATTGAGTAGAGTTCCCTTTGCTATACAGTGGTCCTTGTTGGTTATCTATTTTAAA